CGTGTCCGCCGTGTTGTCGGTTTTTGATCGGGACTATATGTTATTGGGTAATTCTACTTTGATCTGTTTCAGGATGTACCCACCCTGGTTCATTTTTGTGCTTATTTCTGTACCATATATTTGAATTTATTAGGGCAATGAGAAAAAGGCATACTACTTAAGCAACCGCTCTGTACAGAACGTGGTTCTTGTTGGTGGTGGTGAAAGAGAGACTCCTTCGAAAGTCGGCATCCTGAGGTGGCGGAAATTTATTGAGATTAAGTCGCATTCTAATCAATATTGCAACAATACTTAATTAATTTGCTCGAATCGAAAAAACTTTTTTTAGAATTTCGGCTGACATTTCATGAAGTAGACAATTTACTGTAGGCTAAGAAGCGGAAGCGAGTCCGCGACTGTCAAGCTCTCTTTCTCTCTCTCTCTCTCGATGCATCTGCCTAACACTCAAGGGTGTCGGTGAATCATACGGTTGTGCAGATTAGATGCTGCCGCAGGCATGGGAGAGCCTACCGTTGTTCGTAGACGACAGAATTGCGTAGGACTTGTAGCAGCAGCAGCAGCAGCAGCAGTAGCAGCGAGTCCGTGGTAGTGGCAGTCTCGTTAATTGAATTTGTGCAAGCAGAGTGCATCTCTTCGCACAGCCAGACAAACTGTGAGAACACAGGCGGTATCCACAAGGAGCTCATGCTCACAAGGTGACCACCATCGGCTGTGTGTGTGATTACAATTTCAGAAATGGGTAAGATGAGAAACAGAGGCATCAACCGGTACAGGAGAGGAGGAATGCGACAATCTTAGACGAGGACCGACAGTAATTCAAAGCTATACTGACACTTCGAATTTGGTTGGAGGACACATTGAAGCTGAACGTGGAGGAGGGTGAATCCAAACAGCCAATTCTATGAAGTTTACAAGATGGGTTGTTGATTTACTTTCGTATGCTCATCGGCTATTCATTCCTCTCTTTAAAAAAGTTATTTTATCTAAGGTAGTGCTGGAAATTTACTTATTTTCTTTGTTTTCTTGCACAGAGCTCTTGTCTGCGGTGAGGCCCCATCCTTGAAACCCCGATTCCCGTTTTCCATGATCCTGGGATAAGCAATGGCTAGGGGAGCTTACATGAACTACTGATAGAAATATATTTCCGTTTTTGTCTGCTTTTTGCAATCAAAATGCTCCAAAGTTTACTCTTTGATATGCACTGCTGAGTTTCTTTTAAGAACATGACATTAAAGTTGTTTTTTTTTTACAATTTATATGTCAAAACAATAGAACCTGCATCGTTTGCCCTGTTCTATGTGACTTAATGTGTAACTCCTGTCGCGCTTTACCGAGCTTCCAAGTTTTTTGAAAGTTTTCAGGTCCAGTGGAAAATTCCGAAAGATGCATTTAAGTTACGAATGACATACGCAAAGAGGGATAGGGCGCAAATGTTTTTTTTTTCAAGTAGACGTCAGCCGGCCCTAATAAGACAACAACTGAACGGTTTGACTCCAGGAAGAGATAGATGTGAATGTGAGTATTCCGGGGGTGGGAGGGGGGGCGGTAGATGTCAAGACACTGTTCTGACAGATGCCAGCGTTCACTCTACAGAGGTGGTTTTCAGTATCAATCAATCAGCGAGTGTAACGATGTCAACGAAGCCAGCGCCAAATAAGGTCGTAGTCTATCGTGTGTATGGGGGCGGGGGGGGGATATACTTGCTAGCTCTAACGACATTGCGGTGCTTTCTCGGGTAAGCCAGATTGTACAGCGGCGAGAACTTTCTACAAACGTTCACCGGTCCCTAACGGAATTAACTCGTCCCGCTCTGCCTTTGGGCTCATTCTTGAACCCCACCAGCAGCCACACAGCGGCTAGTAGTCTAGGCAGATAGTATTGCCAACAAAGACAAGGGAAACTGGGATGGCCATTTCTGGCTCATTATCCGTCATCAGCCAGTCATACCCAGCCGCAAGTGGTGCACCACTCGAGGCTCGACACCGCGACCTTTTGCTCAAAAGTCTAGCTCTCTAACCACTGAGCCACGGGCTCGCTGTCTTGTCGGTTTAGATCGGGATAATATTGAGACCCGTTGATGAACGTTCACCGATCGTTAACAGAATTTACTCGTCTTGCTCTGCCTTGGGGCTCATTCCCGAGCCCCGCCAGCAGCCGCACAGCAACTAATAGTCTAGGTACATAGCATTGACAGATGAATGAAAAAGTTCGCGTTCCAGGTATTTGCATGAACGAGGAAGAAGGGTTGTCGAGCACCGGAGCAATTTGTTTATTGTCCCGAGTTTTCGGGCTCTTGTGGGACTAGGCGTCGGGATTGCACACTGTCCTAGGGCTACCATGTGCATGCCATGTTTAAGCTGCCCTTGTAAATATACAGGGCAAACTGAACGCATGCTCGGTTCGCGCATACACGAACATAAGCTGGCTGTCACACGGGTGGAGGCATTGTCGCAAGTGGCGCCCCCCACCTACAAGACGGATCGTGAGTTTAATTTCGCAGCTTCGAAGGTAATCGCCCACGCCGACAGCCAGACAGGCCGAGAATTAATTGAAGCCTGGGCCTCGGATGAGAATTCAGTCAATCGATCTATCGATCTCGCGCCGGCATATCCGCATGGCCGACACTGGTGATTAATGAGTTCCCTACTCCTTTCCCGCGTATAACGGTTGGTTGGCTCCTGCTTGTTTTTCGTGGACGCTTCTATCTCTGATGATGGACCCCCGCAAGAACCCGAAGGCTCAGCACAATAAAGAAATTTATCCGGTGCTCGACAACCCTTCTTCCTCATTCAGATAGCATTGAGCCCGTGGCTGATGGTCAGAACGTTAGACTTTTGATTAAAAGGTCGCGGGCTCGAGCCTCGGGTGGAGCATTACTTGAGGTTGGGTATGACTGGCTGATTACAGCTAACAAGCCAGAAATGGTTATCCTAGTCTCGCTTGTCTTTGCCGAGAATG